AGAAATGACAACGCCCCTGTCCTTGGAGCTGCAGCTAAGTCTCAGGGCACGTCAGTCAGCACCTGAACACACAGTGCCTGCCTGCCTGCCTGTCTTCCTCCTTCTTCCCCCCTCTTGCTACTGTGTGTAGACATGTGCTGTGGAGGCCAGGGGCACGAGGTAGAGCTGGAGTTTTAAGTATATGTGACCAACCCGAGTTGGGTCCTGATAAAGAAGCTGGTCCTCTTAAAGAGCAGCAAGTGCTCTTACCAGTCATCTCTCCATTCTTGTGATACCTTTCTTAATACAGGAACTGACACCAGACAGCTTCAGCTACATAACACTAAATGTAAATTCAAGATTTCTGAGGTTCTCAAGAAATGTAACTCATAATTTTAAATCTTCCTATAAGTCTTTAAAGAAAGCTTTGTCATGCTCATCAAGAGAATTATACAAGACTTGGGAGTAGGCAAGAGAAATGGATTCTGAACTGAAATCAGATCTACTACAAGAACAGTATTTAGTTTTAGCTTCTGAGACATTGCTCTAGCCCCCTGTGTTTATTTTTTTTCATTTTTTAATTCCTCCTTATTTTTTCCTCAAATAATTTGCGTTTTTATTATACTTAGGCTCTCTCCATGAATATAGATCTAAAGCAATTTTTTATAGCTGCATAGTGTTCTAATAAATACTTTGCCATATTTTAGTTAGCTAATTTCCTAGGGACAAGTATTCAGTCTTTTATTACAGTCATTTATTACTGCCGTTACATAGCTATGAAGGTAGTCCTACACATACATTACTTTGCCCACATTCTGGCTGTTTTCTTAGGATAACACACCTCAAATTATTGTACCAGTGAGGGCATATTTTTAAGGGTTTTAAGAATTTCTCCCAGAAGGATTATTTCAGTGTAAACTGTTAAAACATCATTTATACACTAGAAATTCGTAAGTATTTACAGATGAAGGAATATTTTTAAGACTCTGGCGTTTTATGCTACTTTTTGTCATTTATTACAAATTTTATTATTTAAATCTTGATTTATGATCTATTTTCTCAATCAAAATGTAATTTTTATGTTGTTAGACTCTTTGATAGTACTTATGTATTTGTTTAATTATTTATTCGCTTCTGAGCTCATTTCAGTCTCTCTACAGGATTTTAAACTTATTTTTTTCTGGTACCCTGAAGGACCTTGGAGAAGACTGCAGAAGGTGTAGAGGGAGGGGCTGTGCAAAGGAGAGTGGAGGGAGTGGTTCTGTGGAACAGCCAGGAGAGCCGTGGGGCAGGGCAGGGACAGTGAAGAGGTGGGGAAGGAGGAGTGTGCAGACATGCTAAAGACTAAGAGACATGGCAACAACTATGGCTGCCTGTGTTGAACCTGTCTTGCTTTCCACATGAGGGTTACTGTGCTATAAAGGGACAACTGTGGTGCAGAAACACACTAGTACCTGTTTTTTTTTAAAAAGCTAAAGCTTGCTGGGGTATAGGAATACACACCTTTAATCTCAGCACTGGGGAGACAGAGGCAGGTGGATCTCTACAACTTTAAGGCCAGCCTGGTCTACACAGGGAGATGCTGGCCAGCCCAGGCTGCATCTCGGGACCTTCTCTCTAAATAAGGAAATAAATAGAAAGCTAAGGCCTTCCTGTCTTCTGCAGACTACTCACTGATGCACTCTGGTGTTGAAGTCTCTCTTGTCATGGTTGCCATCGCCTAGGCTTTCTCCTTAGTCCTTAGTCTGATGTTAGGAATGTGAAATCTCCGTATCTCCCGTGGCTCTTGAGGAACGTTGCCTCGTGTGCGGTCGGCAGTCATCTGGCCAGCAAGGTGCTGCTGTCTGAGGCTGAGCTGTCTTTAACAGCGTCGGCTGCGGGAAGGGTGACTGCTCTCTTGGACCGAGGGCTAGTCTGCAGGGCGCTGGTCAGTTTATGAGAATCTGAAGGCTTGTAGGCAGCAAGAACAGTGAAGAGCCACAGACCACAGCTCTGGTGAACACAGACTAGCCCCCAGATACCTCAGCACAGTGCCCAAGAGGAATGAGCAGGAAAGAGGGGGAACCTTAGTGCTGAGAGAGGCAGAGTTAACGGGGATGGCAGTGCTCTAAGTTAACTTCACCAAACCAGGGGCATCTTCCCACAGAGCTTGGCCATTTGAGTCTAGAATGTAACAGCAAGGCTTTAGGTAAATATTCCACTGTCAGTCAGAAGACAGAGATGAGAAAGAGCACTTGGTACTGCTGCCGTCAGGAGCCTCTGCCTCTTTCTTTGTATTGTGCGCTGTCTTTTGAGATGGTGGGCAATTTAGGAGACAGTCAGTAATGTCTTCAGTTTCTGTTTACTGTAAATTAAATGGTTCAAGCTGCCAAGGGCATATCAGCGTCTCAGTTCAGACCTGGTGTGTTTGGAAGCATTTCTGACAGCCCAGTCTGATTTTTACATCTTCCCGTCAGATCCCTCCCTGTCGGTTGCGCTGTAACGGAGGTGAGGAGTCTCCACAGCAGCCTCACCTTTTACCCCATCAGTGTAGTCATGTGTATATGGAGAAGAGCAAATAAGATTGTACCTATGGAAGGCCTGATTTGCAAGCACAGCCTAAGAAAGTAGTTGGGATAACAGAAAACAGAAGGAATAATCGACGGCTTCCTGCAGAGAGGCGGTGAGAGCTGTTCCTCTGAAGACAGACCTTAGACGCGGAAAAGAGCTGGGCAGATCTGGCCACTAGTCCCGTCAGTTCTGGAACATGTGGAAAAGGCCACCAGTCTTCAGTCTCAGCTGCATCTGCAACCTTGACCAACTGATGACTTCAGCACTGTGAAGCAGTGACCTTCCACCTTCTCCCTCTTTCTCTATTGAGCTTTTTTCTCACTTGCTGTGAGCCTTTAAAAATTGTGTGTTTGTGTGTGTGTGAGAGAGAGAGAAGTGAGGGAAAGGGAGGGAGAGAGAGTACGTGTAGGGGTGAGTGTGAGTATGTGGAGGTCCATTGGTTCTCTCCTTCCACTCTGTGGGTTCTGGGAATCAACGTCAGAAACAGTTAGAAGTCCAGAATCTCGATTTTGGAGGGAATACTGTCCAAAGTGTATTAGTGCACTGAGGCAGAGCTTACTGGCCAGCCTGTGGCCTGGGGGTTACATGCAAGCCCCCAGGGTACTTAGTGAAACATGGTATTCATCTGCAGGGTTTTTTAAAGTAACACAGTTGCACGGTTTTCAAATGTGCTCTCTGTAAGGGATACACTATGTCCCTGTGTCACAGGCTGGACATATTGATGACTCTGTGTCTGAAGCATTTTTGGGGGGACCGTGCTCCTATCCACAGTGGAGTTCTAAGAGCTTGGTGTGCATTGAACGCAGGTACACCTAGTGTGTGATACTATTTCTAACCGTCTCTAGAACCTACGTGCTTTTAACTGTTAACTACTGTGGCACTGAAGTTCTCTTTTATTGCCAGAATTGCTTTGAAATAGCTTCAGCATTTCCATTTTGATGTCATGGTTTAGCAAGGAGGATCTCAGGAGATGAGGATTTTAACCCATGCTTACCCCTAACTAAGTACCTGTTATTTATAAAGTCTTAAACTGCTACACTTTCTTTTATTCTCATCTGTACAATAATGAGTTAGTCCTAAGCATCATGTTTTTACACCAAACGTGGAGAAGTTATGAACCTACCCTTGCCTGCCCTGTGGCTTCCTCAAGATGTTCAAGTCTGGGAAATGCATTTTCTGATTCTGCATCACAGACACGAGGTAGTCTCTCATCATAGTCCTCAGGACCTTCATACCGTTAGTTGTGCGAAATAGACAGCTCCGTCTTTCTGTCTTGATGGCTTTCTTAAATGACAGTTGGTGAAAACTGTGCCTAGGACTGTAGGTTGGGTCATGTGTGCTGCAGCCTTATAAAAATGGCAGATAGTGTTTATATTTTACTTCAGCCATTTTTCTCTAAATGCCAGTATTCCTAGGACTTAGTAGCCGTAATATTTCAAAATGTCTCTGAAGCCAACCCTTTGCCTCTGGAATGCACCATTCCCAGGCTCTTCACTATTCAATATCTTCTGGGACACAGATTTCACAGTCTGTCTCTCACCTTGAGGAAGTTCTTATAACTAACATAAATCTTGCTTTCTGCAGTTTAAGTTGAATTTTATCATTTTTCTTTTCTCTGTAGAGATGAGAACAGCCTCAGACTGGAGGTGATACATTTCTCATGAGGGCCAGTACTGAATGCTGTGTAGAAAAATTGTTTCAGCCCAGCTTCCATTTCTCTGACTTTGATTCTGATACTTGTGTCTCAGAAAGTGCTGTTTCTAAAGTCTAAGTGAATTAATGGTTTCTACCTAATCATTTGCTCTTTAGAATAAATTGGGGTACAAAAATTAAAAAGTGAGTTCTTACAGGGAGAAGGGGAAATGTCGGTCTCTGATCCTGTTGGTAGAAATGTGTTGGGGGAGTGGCTGGAAGAACACGGGTGGGACCTGCGCCGTGGCCTTCAGAGACTGCCGGTGCTGGCCCTGTCACCCAGCTGCTGAGGTCCTGGAAGCAGGAGAGTCCCCCAGAGGCGATAACTAAAACCTCAAGACCATGTTCTCAAAATGGTTTGGGATATTTAACTAAATTTAGGTCTGTCTTCATGTAGTTACATCATAAGCCTGTGTCTGGGCTGTAGATTTTATCCCATTGTTTAGTGGTTAGAGTAAGTGATTCGTTCATTATAAATCGTGAGAGTAGAAGCCAGTTCCTTGGAGCAAGGTGTCCAGAAGTGGATTTCAATGTGTGTGGTCAGATGGTTTCACTACTCAGCTAAGAATTGTGGTGAATGAGCTGAGGAAAAATAATTGTGCCATGAGGAGCCTGTGGTTCTGTGTGGAAGGACACTGTGATCTTATACTGGGAATCCCTATAACAGTGCATACAGGAAAACGTTGAGTGGAAATTTGATTGCTACCTGTTCGGTTTACTGAACCCCTAAAATTTGTATTCATTTGCTTCATTCTGATGCCTTTATTTTCCTTTTGAAGGTTCAGCAATTTTCTGAAAAATATTTCCTCTCGGAGCTTTTGAAAACCCGTGAAAATGCATTACAGAGACAGTGCAGTGAGATGATGAACCAAAGGGATACCCTGCTCCAGGCCCTCGTAAGTCTCCTGCCACCTAGAAACAGCTCAGTCAGGAACCATGTCAAAGGCGTTTAAGCACACGCAGCTTCACTTTGAGATTATCTGTATGCATAGCGCTGGCAGTACTACTCAAATAAAACGTATTACAGGCTGTTTAAAGCTGACTGGGAGAGGAATACAGGTGGAAAGAGTTGTGCTGGCAAGGATGTAGCGCAAGAATACTTGCAGTTGTGAGCCTGAGAGGAAGGAGGCCTCTGCTTTGAGCTGCTGTGGTGCTGAGACCAGTGTTAACGCTGCTGATAATCAGAGGATGTTTTCCTGTCAGGTGTTTATTTCTGTGGGCCCGGGGGGAGGTGGTACTGTTTTCCTTCACCTTTTACCATAACTCAGAACACAAGCCAAGCAGGAGTTATGATTACAGGCCAGCTTGAAGATGTGACTAGTCATGAGTTGACATTTCAAAGAAAATGGGCCAGCAAAGGCCTCGGTGGGTAAAGGTGCTTTGCACCAAGTCTGGTGACCTTTCAATCCTTAGGACCAAAATGGTGGAAGGAGAGAACTGACTCCCACAGATTGTCCTCTGACCTTGGCACGTATTCCATGGCTCATGCACACCCATTCCACCCCACCCCCATACTGAATAAATAAGTGGAAAAATTTCATAAAACATATTTAGTAATAAAAATACAGCTTATGACATGACCTGCTTTTGAATGTGATTTCACATAGTTGGCATGCAGCCAATAATAAAATCTAAATTTAAAAAAACAAAAAAGGAAGTCTAGTGCTGTAAGGAAATTAGATTTTTGCACCATCCAGAGATATTTTTTTTAATTCATACTTTAATGCTCTGTGGATATTTCATTCACAACATAAAAGCTTACGGAGGACTAACTTTGAAATGATTGCATAATTTGGCTTCAGATTGTCCTTTTTTTTTCCCCCTACAAAGCAGCCATTGTTTTTTTCTTTTTTTTCTTTTTTTTTTTGAGTAAAGGTTATAATTTTCACATTTTGTTATTACACCTCCATCAAATTATACATTATATTGACAAAGTATTGTATACTACTATGAAGTAAATTCAAATACAAGCATAATGGTAAATGTCAGAGTTTCTGTTTCACTGATTCCTCCCAAGCTGTGAGGATAAAACTTCATATGAAGGTTTATCTAAAGTCTAACGCATGTGCTTGGGCAGCATGGCGTGCTTGTGCTGATTCAGAAAATGGCTGCTGACACTTTCTGCTAATCACTGGAGGATAGTATAGCCAGTGTGTACATTGGACATTTATTTCTGTTTTTCAGGAGGCTACAAAGAAAAAAGCCACAGAGGAAGAGGAAAATTTTATTAAGGAAATTACAGACTTTAATGATAATTATGGAATAACCAAGAAAAGAGATATTTTGATGAAAGAAGATATCAAGATGGAAATTGCTGACTTAGAAAACCAGGCAAATGTTTTGAGAGGAGGTATGAATGCAGAGTTGCCTCATTAGTCTGTTGCTAATGAAAGTATTGTTTGCTTGTTTGTTTTTCAGACAGTGCCTCACTGGGTAGCACACACTAGCTTGGAACTTCATATATAGCCCAGGCTGACCTCAGACTTGTGATCCTCCTGTCTCAGCTCTCCAAGTGCTGAGGTTTACAAGCACGCACCCAGTTAAAGTGAGTTATTTTGAATGAATGTGTTTTGTATGAAGGTAAACGCCATGTGTTGTTTTTAACAAAGTCTCAGTCGTTAGGTTTTACCAATTAAGGCTCAGGAGCCAGATGCTGGGGTGGAAGAGAAAACACCCAGCTGACCTTCCTTCTCAGCCGATGTCCCAGGAGGAAGAAGGCCTCTCTCCTCCACGCTGTCTCAAAAACCCTCAAACGCAGGGACCCTCCCTTCCACTTCCTGTGTAGCTCTCTATCCTTTCTCCTGACTTCTGTTACTTGCTCTTGTTTTTTTTCTGTGTTCACTTCCTGTCAGTTGGTTTCTTGCTCTGCCTCTTGACCTGTGGTTGACTTTATTTAGTCTCCTGTTTACAGTACTCACACATGGAGCTCTTGGATTAAAGGTGTGTGCTAGGGCTGAGCCACATCACAACTAGAAACAGGTTTTTCCAGTACACACACAATCATGGGGTTCACAGTGTGATCAAATATCCTGCAACATTTCCCAGTTTTTGTCTATAAAAAGGAAATGTTCTAACTATAACACTGTATAACTTTACAATAATGAAGCTATTTCTGCCAACATTTCCAGAATGTCCAGCTTGGTTGTATTTGGCAGTCTTACGATTAACTTTTTTATTTCAAAGTTCTGTTCATATCAGTCTCCTGTGAACTCAGGAGTTTGAATGTCATGAGTAGTTTGTAGTCTGAAGCTGATCTTTGGGTGGTGTTTGTCAGCTTAGTGGAAATCCTGGCTAGGTAGAACACAGCTGTCAACCCAAAGGTGTCCACTGTTTGCGGAGAACCTGGCGGCAGAAGAGGCTGGGGCAGATTTTCCCAGTGGTTAGTGTTACCACAATCCAGATCGATTCATTGTTGCAGGACTCCATCATCTTGGAGGTCTCAGAGGCAGGGTTAGGAATGATGGTGGTTTATTGTTCTAAATGCCATATTCAGCACATCTCTGAAAGATTGGAGGACAGCAGTCTACTAATTACATCCCAGGGGCACAAACGCTCCTAGTTACCTGAAATCCCATACAGGAAGCTAGATGAAGCTTATTTCCAGAATTAGTACTTTCTATGACTACTAGTATCATAACAGAAAGTTTATATATGCATAATAATCTTATAGATTTTGAGATATTTAAAGAGTCAAATGAAAACCAAAAGATTATGAGATTAGCAGCAATAGAAGAGTCCCTTATTTTTTATTTTTCTCTATCCCATACCAGGTGGCTCTTCTGATAAGAGACAGAGATTTTGGATTTTTCTTTAACAAGCATGTGTGGTTTAGAGAAGGAGACAGCCATGTTCTAACCCCAAAACCAGCTTTATTTTTTTTAAGATTTATTTATTTATTATTTATACAGCATTCTGCCTGCATTTCAGAAGAAGGCACTAAATCTCACTGTGAATGGTTGTGAACTACCATCCACAATGGTTGTGAATGTGGTTGCTGGGAATTGAACTCAGGACCTTTGCAAGAGCAGCCAGTATTCTTAACCTCTGAGCCACCCCTCCACCCCTCCAGCTTTACTTTTTAATTGAATTGGGACCACAAGAAGACCATGTACAACTTACTTATATCTGCAGAGGGCCACAGAGCGGCCATGCCACTTGGCCAATTTACTCTTTTTCTTGAGATGTATTCTCTTGATGATCCACCCTTTTTCTTCACATGTTTCACTTGTCCAGTGGTCTCTGGACAAGTTTTCGTGTTTTTATTCTCCTGAAAAGATAGAAACAAAACCCTGCCCCAACCCTAACTCTGGGGGGGGGGTTCCTTTTTGGGCAGGCTTTATCTTTCCTAGGGCAAAATGGTTTTTGGTAACAGAAAAAGTATTATCTTTTGATTGAAATTTTAAAAATTACTTTGAAAATTTGAAACGAATTATATCTTAGTATGTGTGGATAATATGCCTATACTCCCCTTTCTCTAAATATAGAAATAGAAGGTTTAGGTGTGTTTACCTTTAGATCGCAAAGGACATTCAGTTGGAGTTTCAGCCTGCCTTTTTATGAGCAGCTTTTAATGTTAAGCCACTGTAGTCCCTGTGTGCCTGCCTTTGCCTCCCAAGTGCTGGGATTAAAGGCGTGTGCCCCCCAACTGCTGGGCCTGCATGTGTGAACCCAGGCCTGGCTACGGGATCCTCACAATAGTTATTCTCACAGGGTTGTCCGGTTTAGTTTGCTTCTCCATTTACCCATGGTTTCCAGTGTTAGGAATAAACTTTCAAGTTTTTCACATGTGTAACCCATCATTCTTGCTGATTTATTCTGAATTTGTTCCCTGGCAAAATTTAATATTCTAGTCTGAATTAAACCTGATGCAGATTTGTCCACTATTTCATTATTTTTCAGATGTTTTGTCTGTCTTGCCTGTATGAGCTACATAAAATTCGATGTCTTTGCCATTTATCTGCCAGTTAGTGTTTTTGTTTATTTGTTTGTTTGTTTTTTAGAAGACCATATAGCTCTACCATTGTAAACGCACCATGAATCGGAGAAGATATTTTCCTGTGGCTTTCCTTGTTGTTTGTTGTATAGACAACAGTGCTGTGCTGATTTTGTGGTCTCTTCCTCAGTATTGGCCATTCCATCCCCTGGTCTATAGGCAGCCATTTTCCCCTTAGTTTCTGTACTATCAGTAAACCATGCACTAGCCAAATGTTGTGACCATTTTGTTGGTTCCACAGTTTAATAGGTGTCTTTTAGGGAAGGGGTGAGTAATTTAGGGAAGGGAATTATAGGCAACTGAGCTATTTCCTCAGCATGGGAAGGCACGAACCCCTTTGCTACCACATCCTGTTCACAAATGAATTCACAAAGGTGCCAGTTCCACTCTTAAGACCTTTCCTTTTGTGGCTAAGCTGCCAAGGATTCTGCCTTCCAATGGATCCAATCCATCATGGCAAGGGCCACAATTATGACTGTAGGGTGGTTGGCAGTGACTAAGTATAAAGTTCTCCATGCAATAGAAGCCAATACAAATGCAGGCAAATACAAATACAAATACAAATACAAATACAAATACAGATACAAATACAAATACAGATACAGATACAGATACAGATACAGGCAAATAC